CACATGCTAAGCATATACCTTAACCTTAAAGAATGTCCTTTAAGGAACACTGAGCGCATATACTCAGAATGTGAATGTTCTTTTAATGCTATGTGGGAAGGTGACCCTCTGTATAAAAACTTAACTGGCAATTTTTGGGCCTGGTAACCAAAAGATTCTTGATAAGTACACCTTAGACAACATTATCCCGTAGAAACATCGCGGGGACCTCTCAAAAACACAGAATCATACCTAGCCTATGGACTATGGGGTAAAGGACCCCGCAATATTTAAATGGAAATTGGTTACCCGTGATATTTGGATGAAATTTAAATATGTCATTGGGGATGCCGTAAGTAACATTTTTTACCATGGGCACAACCCTGTATATATGACAGGTAAGGCGTGGTTAGCTGTCAAATATTGGCATCCTATATCCAAAAGAAGAGTGACTATGGCAGATTTTGATGATCGAAGTATCGATGTCTACTAAGTCGACCAAGTCAAGTCGAAAAATGTCAACCATTTTGACACCTGTCAAAACCCTGCCAAACGGCAGCACTCATCTTTTCCCGTTTTCAATATTTTATGATGTCATTTGACATTTTTAACTTGTATGTAAATTCTGAATTCAAAAATTGAAAAAAAAAATGACAGAACTGTCAAAACCTGTCATTTGTTTTAGTAGAAAAAAATACTCTAATCTGGTTCTTTTTTGTTTCAAGGTAGTTTATTGGTGATAAAACATTAAACAAAGTTCATGCATGTCACATTTTGACAACTGTCAGAATCTGTTAATAGATTTTTGGTTCATATTGAGTTTGTTTGCTTAGTGAAGGTTTAGTTCTATTGTATTATTGTATTATTCTATCATTATAGTTGTAGAACTTCACTAAGCAAACAAACCCAACATGAACCAAAAAGCAAAAACAGATTCTGACAGTTGTCAAAATGTGACATGCATGAACTTTGTTTAATGTTTTATCACCAATAAACTACCTTGAAACAAAAAAGAATCAGATTAGAGTATTTTTTTCTACTAAAAAAAATGACAGGTTTTGACAGTTCTGTCATTTTTTTGTCAATTTTTGAATTCAGAATTTACATACAAGTTAAAAGTGTCAAATGACATCATGGAATATTGAGAACTGGGAAAGGTGAGTGCCGCCGTTTCACAGGGTTTTGGCAGGTATCAAAATGGTTGACATTTTTCGACTTAACTTGGTCGACTTAGTAGAAATAGATTTTTTGTTCATCAAAATCTGCCATAGTTACTCTGCTTTTGGATATAAGATTCCAATATTTGACAGCTAACCACGCCTCACCTGTCATATATACAGGGTTGTGCCCAGGGTAAAAAATGTTGCTTACGGCATCCCCAATAACATATTTAAATTTCATCCAAATATCACGGGTAACCAATTTCCATTTAAATATTGCGGGGTCCTTTGCAGAATCGGCTTTCTCGAATCCCTGTTCCACAACTTCCATTTTTGAACTTGCACAACACAAACACAGTGTCTTCACTGTGTTTGTGTAGTCTTCACTCATTGAAGACTACAATAAACAGCGCAAAACTAAAATGTTTTATTTACAAAAGGTAACCTTTTTTGAGGCCCTCCCAGATTTTAAGTAGTAGTAAGTATCTTTATTGTAGGACTTGCCTAATATACAAAACAAGATTACAATGTATAAAATAAATTAATTACATCATCATACATCAGTAAAAGAATGCACTATTACATATTATTATTTCAATACAATATACAATAGGAAAATATATAGGATGATTTCATAGACCAATATGACAAGGTGTCATCTCAATCTCACAGAACTATCAGGACTATTAATATTATCTATATTCCCCGCATATGCTGGCTCAACAATCTTTTAAATATATTTACATTTGGTAGATTTTTCAACTCCATAGGTAACTTGTTGAATGCGTCTAAACCTTTATTAAATAAACTGTTCATACTACTTTTTAAGTTAGTTCTTGTAATGTGGAAGTTATTTCTTGACCTAGTTCCATAGTTGTGTACTTCATTATTGCGAATAAGAAATTTATCAAAATAGATTGGTCTATTATTTTGTTGTGCAATTTTAAATATAAATGACATACTCAAGTAATAAATCCTATAACGAACTGATTGCCATTACAGAGTTACTAACATAGTGCTAATTGGTGTGTATCTATTACACTTTAGAATACACCTCATTCCCTTATTTTGTAGTTTCTGCAATTTTGAAGTATGGTTTTGATTAAATAAGTACAATAGTGTAGCGCAATAGTCAAAGTGAGGTCTGATGATACAGTTATAGCACGTGAGTCTAGCGTTTAAAGAAAGTGATTTTGAAATTCTAATAAAAAAAATACAATTTCTTTGAAATCTTTGATATTATATATTCAGCATGTTTATCTAATCGAAGTTTATTATCTATCAGATACCCTAAATACTTTATTTCACTTTCAATTTCAATCCTACAATTATCAATCTGAATATTTATTGAATTTATGTTTATATTTCTATGTTTAGCTTCGGTAGTTATAATCACATATCACCTAATATAGATGCGTAAGTACGTATACTTGCCGTCGACGATATTCTGTGACGAAGCCGGGGAGCCAGCGCCTTGACGCATAGATACAGATCGCCCGCGTCAGGACAATTAACGTGGCCGGGTGCGTGAGCATGTTCCAGCCTGTGTGTTTACATATTTTGCGGGTAAAAAAGAATATTTTTTTGCTGTTTGTGATCCAATTGAAGAAATAATATTATATTATTGAGCTTCCGCATTTATATAATAAATATGTTCAAAATACATTGATGCGGCATTGGTGCGGCCAGCCTATGTCTATCAAATTAATCTTGAACCATGAATTCGCCGCTCTTTCGCATCTGTATGTAGGTAATCTGTGTTATAATCATAGCTTTAGTTTTTGAGACATTTAATTTTAATTTGCTAATACTTAAGTATTCTTCTATATTTTCTAGCGATTCATTGATTTTTTCTTGTGCCCTTGTTAACTCCGTATCTGTGACATAAATAAGTGTATCATCAGCAAACAAGTTGATTCTTTGCATACCTGGAACATAACTAATATCATTCAAATATATTATAATTAGAAGAGGGCCCAAAACACTACCCTGTTGAACACCCATATCATTTAAAAGTAAATCTGACATACAATCACACACCCTAACCCTCTGAAACCGATTACTTAAGTAAGATCCTAGCCAGCCCAATGCCAGCCCAGTAACTCCATAATATTCTAATTTATTCAACAGTGTTTCTCTATTTATTGTCTCGAAAGCTCTTTTGAAGTCTAAAAAGACAGCTACAACATACTGATTATTATCTAAACACTTTTTACATTCTGAGATAATAAATTGTAGTGCGGTTTCACCTGAATGGCCTTTGCGAAAACCAGTCGAGGAAAAGATGATTTTCATTGAAGTATTTAACTCATTGATCATAAATTGCCAATTCCAATATTTTTTCGAGACGTGATAACGTGTTTATTGGTCTAAAATTTGCAGCATTTTCTGTGTTTGAAACTTTTAGTATAGCCGTAACTGTACTGGTCTTGAGCTGATCTGGAAATACACCAGACTTTATTGATGCATTAATAAAACTCAAAATGACATGACCTATAGAATACAAAGACTGCTTAAGAAATTCGCTGCTTATTCTTTCACCCTTATTATTTTTATCCAAAGAAAAAATAATTTTTTTCAGTTCAGAAAATGTTATTTCTCTAAAGCTAGCTAAGCCACACAAAACTGTTTCATAACCAGCTGGAGACCACTGTTGGGCTGTGGAAATACTCGAAGAAATGTCAACAATGCTAGTAATAAAGTACCGATTGAAAGAATTTGCAATTACCATTGGATCTGTTTCAATTTTTTTCTGATTATCAATAAAAAAATCTATTTTGTTAAATATTTGGTTTTTTGATGGATTAATTAGTTGTTTCAAGTATTTCCACATTTCTTTTGGATTTTGCTTATTCTTGTCAATTTTATTTTCAAAATAAAGCCTTTCTTTATTCTTAAGAGAGTTTGTATATCTATTACGACAGATTTTGTACTGCTCCCATTTTTGAACCCTTTCTTGGATATTGCTGGATCTAAATTGTTTATACGCTTGATATTTTTCTTTGGACAAATTTTTTAGAACATCATCATAATATGATACCTGATTTGAATTTCATTTAATTTTTTTCAATGGTGCAACCTGATCAACAACAAACGTACAATTTTCCAAAATTTCTCTCACAACAATATTTACATCTGCAGTATTTAAATTCCAATTCAAAGACAACAATCGTGAATTAATTGCCCCAAAAGTATCATCATTCAGCCGTCGGATATACATATACTTATCTATTCTAGGTTTATACTAGTTTATAGCAATTGAAAAGAATTATTGCAATCAATGAGTGATCAGTAATTTTTGGCAAATCAACTACTTCCGCATTAACATTCTCGAAATTACTTACAACATAATCAATTAAAGTTCTTGAGTCCTTTGTTAATCTGGTATATGTTGATATCAATTGATCAACGCCACATGAGTCTAACATATTTTTAATTTTCTTTGTAAAAAAACCATAATTATTACTAAAGTCAATATTTACATCACCAACCAAAATACATTTTTTTCCATTAAAATATTTAGCAAGTATTTCATCAAAACATTCCAAAAACAGGGGATGACTTGCATTTGGTGAATGGTACAGCCCGCATTAAAGTTCATTGACAAAATTAAAGAAAAATATTGCTAAGACATACGTTTAAAAAACCATAGCAATCTTTGATTGGTTTTTTTTTTTGAAGACCCGATATAATTGTTGTTTTTTCGTTTGATCTCCAAACATTCTAATATTTGTTAAGTTCTTCCTACTTCTTAGAACTTCTTTTGCATCATTAGAATTATCAAACACAACTTTTATGGGTCTACAACGATTTTGTTGATATTTTCCCAATCTTTGTACCACAACATTTTTATCAACAATATTAATATTTTCCAATAATTTCAGTAGGTACTGTTTGCTTTTCATCCAAACTTCGTTCAATTCTGTTTGCCTTTATTGACTCATTAATATTTAATATAATAACATTTTTTAATCTGAGCTTTCTTTCCTCCATTTCAGTAATCATATTCTCAATTTCTTCACTTATATTTGCTGTTGCTAATTGATGGGGTGTTGCTTCAAGACTATCAACCTTTTCTTGAATCAGTTTGATGTTTTCAGTAGTTTCTGCTACTTGTTTTTTGAAATTATTTACATCAGTTTTGAGATTCTTGACTTCTTTTATTATATTAGGAATTTTCTTAAAAGCTTCTCTGCATTCAGGACAAAAGAAGATAAGTGATCTACTTTTCAGTACTACAGCCGAGGGGTCAACCACCCACCAAAATTTGTACACCTATTACCATTTTCGTAATTTATTACCAAATATTACTGGTTATTACCATCTATTATGAGTTATTACGTGATTATTACATTTTATTTCCAGTTATTACGTTTTATTACCATCTATTATGAGTTATTACGTTATTATTACATTTTATTTCCAGTTAATACGTTTTATTACCATCTATTACAAGTTATTACGAATAATTATCACATGAAATAAAACTTTATTTGAAGCCTGATTGTTACTAAGCCATCTTAAATCTAAAGAAATGTACTGAACACTGAACAAATCATTTTAAAAATTTACAATTTTTACATATGTACAGTGTGATTTTTTAAGTGTGCAACATATGGGAATTGATGCCAAAAGTTGGTGCATGTTTGACAATCATATTAGGTGCACTTAGAATGGTTGTAAGTCAAACAGCATACAGGGTAATGTCTGCCCAGCGATTCTGTGTCTACGGGGCAACGGTAAGGGGAATGCAGTTGTAAAAAAAAATGGCTGATTTCATTCATAAAATTCCCAGCTGCGTGGGGAACTTTTTGGAAGTCTTATCGTATTGCAACTCGTACACGAAAATCGACAATGACCAAACCCCCGCCACTGGATATTTCAATATAAATCCGGCGACCCATTCCCATATGTTGCACACTTGAAAAATGACACTGTATAATAAGTAGTGAATACATGAAATAGTGAAAATATTGTATCCTCCAAAGTAATAAATATGGTAGAGAGGAGTTGTGGGTTAAGGCCGAAGTGAAATAAAACTTCCTTATTTACAAATTCGTGGATGTTTTGACCTCTTATTCAGGTATTTTTGATAAAGACCCGAATAAAAGGTCAAAACTTCGGCAAATTTTCAAATAAGGAAGTTTTATTCCAGTTCGTCCTTAACCCATAACTTCTCCCTTACCATATACAAGGTGTCCCAAAAATAGCGTAAAAGCTCTCCACTACATAGTAGGGGATCCTTTGAGTAACATTGGAAGAATATTTGAAAAAATCTTTCTCCACCATTCTTGGAAATATGAAGAGGTATACAGGGTGACCCAAATTCGAGGGTGACCATTGAGATATCGGAAACTATAAGAAATACGAGGTCGGTTAAATTATGGCAAAGTTGCGCAATTTTAGGACCAATAAAATGCCGTTTTGAAATATTCCGAATACTTCCGAAGATATTCGGAATTTTGCAAAATTATTTTTATTTTTTCCTGAGTCTATCTGAAGAGCAATTTCAAAATAAATTTCACTTCATCATTGTCACTTTTTCCCCTTTACAAGATGTTGTACCACATTTCAGATTCCACGTTTTGTCGAACCTCAAAATACTAATCGGGAGGAACTAACGTTGAAAATCGGTAGATTACTGCGCAAAATCGGTAGGTATAACACAAGGATAATACACAATACTAGTACTAAGGATTGCTTATCGGCCTCATTTCCTTCCATTGCGGCCATATCGGTGTATCACCATTGTCGACGTCATTAACTAAATCGTCAGCTGTTTGCGCCAGCGGTCCTAGTTTAGAATTTAAATTTATGATGAAAAATATATTTTTTTTTTCATTAACATAATAGGCAAAGAGGAAGATGCGAACGAAATCTAGACAGGAGTTGTTAATGTTAATTATGAATGTAATAAGACCAAGTATGCATAAAACAAAAGACCGCGGAATCATAACATGTGATGCAAACAGCCTACGTCAAGACGAGAAACGACGTGCTGCTACGTCACAACTGGTGATTTGGCATAGTGGGTGGCTTCAGATTAGGGCACGGATTCCGAACCCACGATTCGATAATATCGTCTATCGTCAAGCGTGCAAAAGTACGTACATGACGATAGACGATACTATCGAATCGTGGGTTCGGAATCCGGGCCCTGTTCTACACAGATCTTATGAGGATAGGCTATGTAGTAATAGTGTGTATTATCCTTGGGTACAACCAGAGGGTATTACATAAAGACTAAAATCCAGCCGTGTCTTGCTTTTAGTTTTTTATTTCGTTGAGTATGTAAAAGCCCAGTGCTTGTTTCCGTGGGAAGTTTATTTCTTTGTGCTGTTTTCATTCCATTAATTGCTGAGAATGTGCGCTCAACAGTGGCGGAAGAATGGGGCAATGACAAGATATTAAAAACAAACAAACAACAAATTCGAATATCACAGGGCCCACACGGGTATTCTCCGAGAGAAATGCACTGATATCAACAATTTTGTCGTCGGAGGATCTATTTGACATCTGACATCTGACAGTTCTGACACGGACAAACAATTCGATAGTAGATCGGGTGCGATTATCGATAGCAAAAATCGGCGAAAACAAAACCGATAAAGTTGATTTTTTAGCGAAAAACGGTAAAAAAATCGGTAGATTTGTAATTATTGTCGAAAATCGGTAAAAATTCATCAGTATTCGGTATTTCGGTAGGTCCGTTGCCATTTAGGTAGAAATACCGAAATTTCGGTAGCTTCGACAACATTGAATGAGGTATTGCACTTATTCGAAAAATTTATATTATTGGCACTTTCCATAAGAACTTAATATGTTAGAGAGAGACAGAGAAGAGAATTTTGGTAGAAAATTGCTGAAAAGTAATTAAATTCTTTTTCGAATAAATGCAGAAACTCTTAAAATCTGAAATAAAAAATCAGGTCTGTATTTAGAAAAACGAAGTTGATGATGACCGCCCAAAGATGAAACGTCGAATCTGAAATTTGGTAGCAACATCTTGTAAAGGGAAAAAAGTGACAATGATAAAGTGACATTTATTTTAAAATTGCTCTTGAAATAGACTCAGGAAAAAATAAAAATGATTTTACAAAATTTCGTTTTTTTCCGAATATCTTCGGAAGTATTCGGAATTTTTCAAATTTCAAAACGGCATTTTATTGGTCATAAAATTGAGCAACTTTGCCATAATTTAACCGATCTCGTATCTCTTATAGTTTCCGATATCTCAATGGTCAACCTCGAATTTGGGACACCCCGTACATGTGGAATTTCAACTTCCTTATTTTTGATTTTTTTTTTCAAATTACAATATGTAGGTATTTCTTACAAGGTGTTAGGTATCTTTTGTTGATTCATTACGTAATAGTTTATAAAAATTTGTTGTTAAACTCAACGCATTATGAAAATTGCAAAATTCACAACAGGAAAAATTGACCTTTTGTTTGGACGCCATTTTGCGGTGCGCGAACATAGTTGCCAACAGTAGAAAAAAAAAATTACTAGTGTACTGTCAACATTAAAAACAAAAATAAATTACATTTAAAATTTAAATTTGCTAATTTGCCGCCTATTACGAATGTTTTTGTAAAGAAAAGCTATCAATTTTAGGTTGTATTGGGCAGAATAGAAATAATAAAATTAAAATATCTACCTATTTACTTCACCAAATTTTTGTTTCCTAGGTTATAAGTTTGTTCGTTTAGAATCAGAGAGAGGAAGTAAGAAAACAAAAAGGATAGCGAAGATCAATCATTTAGTTACTTTTGTTTTTAATGCTGACAGCCCGCTAGTAATTTATGTTTTCTTCTTTTGGCAACTATGTTCGCGCACCGCAATATGGCGTCCAAACAAAAGGTCAATTGATCTGACATTTTTCAGTCATCTCCGAATTTTCCAGGTACCATCGTCACCAAAAGTATCTGGGACAAAAATAATGCCTAATAATCTCCTAGACTAATTCTACTGTCATTCATTTCAATGCATTTGATTCATAGTTTGACAAATATTTGACAATAAAATTCATATAATATTCCAAGAGCTAATATGATGCTGTCCCAGTTACTTTTGGTGATGATGGTACTTACATAGGTATCATATAGGTATTTAATTCAATTCTGTGACAAAATGTTAACGGGATATATTCAGTGTTGCCAATCTCAAACATTGAAAGCTAATAACTTTCTTAAGAATGCCACCAGATTTTTCAAATTATTTTTCTGGGGTTCCTTGAAGAGTCCTCCACCACATAGTGGAGAGCTTTTACGCTATTTTCCAGACACCCTGTATATTGTTAAATGTGAGATATTATAACTATGCCTATGACGATAACCTTAATCCTCTTTTCATGGATCTGTATTTTTCTTTGATTTTTAATAAATCATGCCTTCTCAGTGTGAATGGCTCATTTCCTTCCAACTGAATGTGTCCATGAAAGATAAACTCTTTCTTTATTTCCTGAGTGTCTTCCCTCTTTGGGAGGTTGGAGATTTATCGAAATTCTTTTGTAGAAATTTTACTACATATGCCTTTTCATCTACTGAACTAATAACTCTACCAATGAACCAGTCCTCATCATAATAGACTGAGTAATAATGTTCATTGAGTATTAAACTTGCTGCATTTTTTTCCTCGCTTATTTCTTTCCGAGTATCTTCTTTTTCTGATTCGGATTCAAAGACTAGCACTCGAATTCACTTTCTAAGTAAATTGTCTTCTGTCTTCTGACGAAGAGCCAGATACCGAGGCCTCGATCGAAGCAGATATATTTTCTTTCTAATATTTTCTTTTTTTAATATTTTTTCCTCCTGTGCAACGTAAATTAAATAGGAAATATTCGCAATCATATCAAATTTCGTATGCGGGATTATTCAAGAATTGGGTGCCTCTGGGACTTATCAGAGGGCAATGCCAATAAGTAGGAATGCATCAAAATTTACATATTATGCACCAGAAAAGGTAAAGTTAGAAATATTTGATAGGGGAAAGGGGAAAGGGAATTGTCATCCTTGCAAATACGAGTTATTACGTAATTTTTACATGTTATTATGTAATTATTACATGTTATTATGTAATTATTACATGTTATTACCAAAATATTACGTGTTATTACGGGTTATTACGTAATTATTACCGATTATTACCATTTATT